AAAAACCTTTCTTCACATTACAAGTAACAAAAAATAGACAAGCAAGATAAAGAGAAATAATGGTCCCTAGTCTTCTTCTTTAAATTTTAATATCACAGTGCTATTGTCCAAAACTTTAGCTCTGTATTCCTCTCTGAATCCTAGAATCCTGCAAACCTCCCATCACTGTTAAAGGATTAAGATGAGTTGAGTATGAACTTTATTAGGTCCTGCGGTGGTACAGAGAATGAGACATTCAAATTAGTCGCTAAAATTTAGAGTTGTAAAGGTAAGTTTGCATTTCACTTTGAATAACATCTTCTCCCCAAAGCTTGTAATAATCTTTTGTCACACACGGGGCTGGAAAGGATTGTTCCCAATGACCCAGAGCTGTACTACCAGCGTCAAAGTCCCCATTTGTATATTTCTTAGGAGTTTTAGAATGCCTTAATGCAAAGAGGATACCCGGTGGCCCACCTTTATATCCCAGACTTCCCCTAGGAGCATTAAGATTATACTCTTCCTAGGATATGTTTTCCATTGGCTATAATAATAAATTAAAACTCCATAGAGGGGCGCCTGGGTGGCTCAGTCATTAAGCGTCTGCCTTCCAATAGGGTCATGATCCCAGCGTCCTGGGATCGAGCCCCGCATCAGGCTCCCTGCTCTGCCGGAAGCCTGCTTCTCCCTCCCCCCACCCCCCTCCGCTTGTGCTCCCTCTCTCACTGTGTCTCTCTCTGTCAAATAAATAAATAAAATCTTAAAATAAAAACTTCATAGAAGCAATGTCAGTGGTTTCTGTTGTCAGTTTCTATAATATAAAACTATTTGTTGTTATATCAGTTTTAGCACAGAAAGACCTCATCCCGGAATGCTCATTAATATCAGCAATTTATACATATAAGTTCTACATCCAACATTAAAAATTACCTTTGTCATTTTCGTGGTAAACATTAAGAGCTAGATTTTATGAGAAAGACATCATCTGTATGATAATTTGATATCTTCGAAAATCAGGGTAGACCATTTAAATTGCTAAGTTCAATAAAATGCCATTAAAGATATCTTATTCCCTTTCTCCCCAACCAATTCTGAACCCAGGAAAGGGTTACCAAGAAAGCTTGAATAGTGTCTTGTTTAACTTTGAATCAGATATGGCTCCATTTATTTCTTCAAAAAATGGTTAGAATTAATTAATATTAATCTATAATCACATTGATGGAAAAATTAATGGAAATTTTAATAAAAATATAACCTTAACGGGATTTGAAGTTGTCCTTTTGAATATAAAGCCAACACTTTATCCACTAAGCAACTGGTCTTCTGCTACCAGCTGATGAAATTGTAAAAATTAACTACAGAATGTTTCTTCTTTTGTTCTATGTGCATAAGAGAAATGTTTTTGAGAACTACAAAGAAAAAGACATTAAAAATTAAAGTAAATATAGAAATTGACCAAGCCTAATTTGATATAGAATGTATATTTATTTAGGGAATTAAGGTGTTTGTTCATCCGAACAGATCTTATTCTCTCTCCTACTCTATCAAGGCTTTGGATTATATTTTTTACACTATAGTTTCTGAGAAGACTTGCTAATCCTAAATAAATAGGTCAAATTATTTCGGATTACTGAAGTCTGGAGAAATATAAAATGACAGGTCAGTATTTGGCATATTAAATAATTTTGTTTAAGGAAAAACTGCATGTATTATGAAAATCAGTGCAATATTAAAACTATAATGTTAAACGTGTATATCCTGAAATATAATCACATTAATTTTCTCTACATACTATGTGCTATATAATATTGAGCAAACTAACCCATACATAGTGATCACTTATTAGAAATTTAGGATTATGAAGGAAACTTTTATCTTTTTCACCGTTTACTGGATATTTCTAACATTAGATACTGTGCATTAAAAATAATACAATGTATATATAATATAGACTATTATTTTTGCCATTGTATTTATTTAGTGTTTACCAATATTTCAATGCCAATACTGAATGTTAAAAGCTATTTTTTTCTGGCATTATATTATCCAGAGATCCATATCTGAAGGCACTTCTTCGTAGCTACAGAACAATAACTGAGCTTTATAGTGATAACCCTAAAGCAAACAAAATATCCTGAAAGCCTTTTGAAATTTTCAAAGACAAAACGAATATGAGAAAAATGTAGTAATAAGTACACTTTTATTATGTTCTAGTAATTTGAAAATTGATAATTCATGTATATATGGTTATTCTCTGCAAAACACTATTCTTGATTAACTAAAACAATGAATACCTGACTACATGCAATGACAGAACTGACAGTTCTTGCATGATAATTAGATCCACTGGTGGACATTCAAAATGAAGCAGAAGCAAAGATTCTGACTTCTTTTCTGTTTATTTTTACAATTCAAGTCATGTTTATAATCAGTGATGTGGTAAATAATCTTGTCTCATTCTCCCTTCCAACTACCTGATTTCTTGGAAGCAGCATCTTTATTCCAAAAGCATAAGGAAATGAGAAACGTAACTGAAAATTCCACTGATTTTAGGAGCAAGCAGCTTTTGTCATGAAGTATTCCTCAGTTTAAATATTTTCCTTAACATTGGGCAAGAACTAGCCTAGAGCTGCAGCCTCCAGGAGCTGGGACTCAATGGGGACTTGTAGGAGCCAATTCCCCTCCTCAATAAACACTGAAGTCTTTCTCTTAAATATGTCCCCTTGTATTATTTGACTCGATACTTCCCATTTTATTTTCTTGCTGTCAATATAAAATGTGTGAAATAATATTGCAGATGCAAAATGCTTACCTACTCTAGCCATGACTGAATGTAAAACAAACAAATGAATAAACATAAATAAAGTATACTTCGAGAAAAAATGCACATCTTATACCTAGAGACTGATAAAACTTTGATATTGACAAAGCCAAGCCATATAATTTAATCTGTTCAAAGAGTATGTGTATGTTCATGAGTTCATTCATCGCAAAGAGACCATTGTTGGTTGTCACAACTCTCTGGGGTTTGGATACTGGCTTCTAGTCAATAGAGGTCAACGAACCTGTTAAACATCCTACAAGGCACAGGACAGTCTCCACACAAAGCATGACCCAACACAAAAAGATCAATACTACTGAGGTTGGAAACTTGCCTTATGCCCAGTGAAATTTGGCTAAATCCCACTTAATGTAAGTCATCTTCAATTTTCCACATCATTTCTTTCTCTACTATATTCAAAAGAAGAATATATGATACAATATATGTCTTCGAAATGAAAGAACTGATGCACTGCTGATTTTGAATGTAAAATTGCTGTGCCTAAGAGTACACAAAAATACCAGAAAGAGTTGTTCAGTGTTTGCCACTGTCAGCACTCCACCACAGACACCCCATCTGGTGCAGTCTGATATGGATAATAATGGTGGAGTGTTCTCGCTGTCTTGACTGTAGTCATTACTGTGATGTTATTTGAGGACTAAGTAGTGTTTGCCCATTGGACCATAAAAGTGTGTCATGTAAATACAGGTTTTAGAGCACACAATAGTCTGTCCATGTGTAGAAATATGCAGGGGGAAAAAAACCCTCATAAAATGCTTTTTAATATTATTTGTTGGGCATGTGAAGTAATTCCTTTTCAAAGTTAAATCACTTGGAAAAAAGGGGGCCTCTCTTTTCAAAGACCCCGTAAGTAATTATGCTGCATTATACATCATTCATATGTCAGTGCAAATTTTGTTTTTAAATGTAAGGAGTTTTGAATGACACGGTACCAAGCAAATGTCCAACATTAACCAAACCTTTTATTTATTTATTTACTCTCACCTGAATTGCTCTTTGAAATTGAATTGGGGGTAGGGGGTTAGTATTTATACAGTCAGCAACCTCATATTTGACACTTCATCCTAGAATTAAATTCTGAACACTGAAAAATCTCATAGAAAAGAAATTACAAATGACAATAACCTTCAGAAAAAATCCTTAACAATAGTTGAGACCCTTTTCTCAGTAGATATTATATTTAATTTTACAGCAAGAAATAAAATGGGAACTATAAGAGGCCAAAATAGTATTTAAAAATTCTATACTTTGAATCATACATAGAATTGTATACTTAAAAGTGTGTGATTATATTGTTGGAAGCTTGAAATATATGCTGTGTTGAGCCTTTTTCCCCCCATCCCTTAACAATGATGAACATTTTCTTATTGAGATCAATGTATAATAATGACAGTTAGAGAGTAACATTTATAGTTATGTAAAATGAAACTGTCCAGATTGGACTCAGTGACTTGATGATACACAGAACAATCAGAGTTATTAAAATGGTGGGTGGCCTTATAGACCCTCAGATGCTTCTCAAAACAAATCATCTTGACAGGAAGAAAATCTTACAAAATGAAGTTTATATGCCTTCTGCTCTTTATAGACATTTTAAACTTGAGAAACAACTCTAGAGAATTATTGAAATTTAATCTTCAAAAATAAAAAGGTAAAATATCTGCAAATATTCATTACCCTCAGACTTTATTTAATTTCAATATTTTAAGAAATGTGTGGAAGAGATATAGATAGATGATAGATAAATAGAGGATAGGTATTTTCCTTTGCCACATTTTCCATCATTTAGAAAATAGTTAAACCCATTCTAGTAAGAGTCAGTTTTACATTGGATTTTGTTAACAAATATTTAGGTCAAACTAGCATCTGCTTCAAATTCGTTCAAGTTCTGTCCTTTAGGTGTTTAAATTGAAAAGAAAGAGTGATAAAAATATCACTTTATCTGTGCAGTGACATATTCCTAGTTATAAGAACTACTGACCAGTTTTATCCATTTCTATAACATCCATAAGTTTTCAATTCTTTGACATTGCTGCTCAAGAAAATATCACGATAAATTAATCTAAGACCTATTCAATAATATGATAGTTTACTTTCCCTGAATAGATCTTCTTCCATTAAAGAAAAATACCAACTGGTGAGAGCTGAGATGGAGAATTCTAAAACAAGACTGTCATACTCACTTTGGCAATGCATATACTAAAATTGAAATGATACCGAGAAGATTAGCATGGTGCCTGCACAAGGATGACACACTAAAGCAAGACCATCACATTGAATTTCCAGGCTACATTGTACTGCCTGGGCATCCTTAGACAGGTTAAGTAACTACCTGTGGTTGAGTTGCCTCATCTCTAATTGCTGATGGTAAGAGTTCCTACCTCATAGGATTTTTACAAGGAGTTAATGATTTAATATATATGAAGATTTTAAAACAGTGCCTCACATATAGTAGCACTGTATAAGAATTAGCTCTTTTTGAAAATATTTCTTTTTTATTTTTTCTTCATTTGAAGAATAAATGTATCATCCTTGAATAGAGCTATAATTTGTTAATTGTGTGTTTGTTATGGGTGCCACAATAAGTTACCCCAAGCAATCTCAGGTTCAGATATGAACATCTTCTACTAAACTAGTAAAAACACTAGCTTTTGCAAAAAGACTAAGATAACTAAATTTAGTGTTAAAGTTCTAGCGAAAATGGCCAGTATAACCTATAAGTAATATTCAGGGTTTTATTTCCCAGTATTTCTATATGATAAGTTTGTTTTTCATATGTAATAAGTCATAAAGAGTAAGGGTACCTGAAGGGAAAACCAAAAATAATTTCCAATTTGTGATGTTCAATTTAAGGTATAAGGACATACATAAATATTAGACCCGTACAGTTTTGTTTGCCATGCGATTTGTCAAATACACTCTCTTTTCCATCGATGCCCTTACCAAGTAGTGTTTTTCTAAAAAATAGATTAATCAATCGGCCCAATTGTAAAATAATTTGAACAATATTGAGTATAACCAATTTTATCTGATGTGCATGGTATAAGATCTAATAGTGGAGTTTTTATGACACTTGTGGTCATTTTAAGATTTACATTAAAGTTAAGATGCTTTAGGACTAGGTGGCAAATAGCATCCTAATAGTCAGAACCTAACAGTCATGACCTAATAATCTGGTTTTCTGTCAACCTCAGCAACCTAATTTTATGCTACTTCTTCCTTTGCTCACTAATCTTCAGCCACAATGGCCAATTTTTAGTTTCTCAAGTGAACTAATGTCCTTTATTTCCACAGAGATTTAAGACGAATACTGTTTCAACTGCCTAGAATAGTTTTCCTCCATCTTTTCATCTATTCAGCATGTCTCTATTGGGATATAATATTAGCTGTCACTTCTTTCAACCTCTAAAATACATCGTCTTCTCATTATATTATCTTTTTTTTTAAGATTTTACTTTATTTATTTATTTGAGAGAGAGAGAGAGAGAGAATGAGAGACAGAGAGCATGAGAGGGAAGAGGGTCAGAGCGAGAAGCAGACTCCCTGCTGAGCAGGGAGCCCGATGTGGGACTCGATCCCGGGACTCCAGGATCATGACCTGAGCCGAAGGCAGTCGCTTAACCAACTGAGCCACCCAGGCGCCCCTCATTATATTATCTTTTTAAAAAGATTTAATTTATTTATTTGAGAGAGAGAGAGAGTGTGCACAAGCAGGGAGAGGGGCAGAAGGAGAAGGAGAAGCAGGCTCCCCACTGAGCAGGGAGCCTGATGCTGGGCTCTATCCCAGGACCCTGGGATCATGACCTGAACCAAAGGCAGACGCTTAACCGACTGAGCCACCCAGGTGCCCCTCATTATATAATCTTATACTTGCTTGTACTTTTATTGTGTAGGATTAATTTAACATTGTAGTACGTTATTTTTTTCATGACTTCTTCCCCAGTAGACCATAAATTTCATGAAGAATTGGACCTTGTTGTATGTTCACTTCTGTTCTCTATTGAAATGACATTGATGCCCTCACCTCAACAAAATGTGTACTGATATCCCTACTCTTCTCTTCTGACTTTTGACTAATTTGAAATGGTCAGCTTGACAGTCGCACTTAATATGGTCCAGACAGAAGTCCTGACCTGCTCCCATCCCACCTAAATTCTCCATTAGAGATGAGAATCTTCATCTCTTACAAAGAATACTTCCATTCAGCTACTGCTCAAGCCAGAAACCTGGAAGTCATCCCTGATACCTCCCTTTTCCACACCCTCCATTTCTAAGTTATCACTAAGTCCTATCCTCTGTATGCATCAAATGTATGTAAACAGGTCTGCATGTCTTCTCCACAATTGCCACATGTATCATTCAGGGTCCTGCCATAAAAGAACAACCCACTTAGAGTGGGTAATATGAAGGAAATGTTTAATGAAAACATATTTAAAAGATAAGGTAAGTAAGGTTTGTGGAAACCAACCAGAAATACTTCAAGATCCCACAGCTAGGAACAAGCAACAGGAAGCTGTTGACAATGCAGGCTGAAAGGACAAAGGGAAGTTACTGGAAACTAGAAAGCCTAGCTCCATGGTGAGAGATGTCTGAGATAAACCATGTCCTCTGATAGAAGAAGAGAGGTCAAGGCACAGAAGGAGCAGGGGAATAAAAACCGAACTTCATTCTGTTGCCAACCTCAAGTCACAGGCTGGTATTTCCCATTAGCTAAACCAAAGTGGAATTTAAAAGACAAAGAAACCCCTTGATGTCATGCATAATCATTAGTATTTTGGGGGTCATAAGGCATGGACAGAACAAACTGAAAGTATTCTGCAAACCATTTTTCTCCTAGCCTTTGTCGTTTCCTACCTGAACTATTGCAATGACCCACTAACTGGTTTGCCTACTTTCTCTGTCACAAACACCTATACGCAATGCTCTTACAGCAGTAAGAATTCTGTTCTTGGATTGAAACCTACATCAAGTTTTTCTGTTTAAAATATTTCTGTCAGTATTTATCTTTTACTCTCAAACTCCTTGTTTTGAAATTGTATAACTTCTATTATAAAGGTTAATTTTCTTATTTTCTTTTTCCACACTAGACTGAGTTCTGTGAAGGCAGGCATTACCTATTTTCATCTTTGAGTCCTCTATCAATGTGACTAGAACACACTAAATGCTAAATAAATATTCTATGAATTAATAAATTTTAGAAAACACATTTGTATTTTTAAAAGCTCCCCAAGAGGGGCACCTTGGTGGCTCAGTTGGTAAAGTGTCTGTCTTTGGCTCAGGTCATGATCTATGGTTCCTGGGATAGAGCCCCGCATCAGGTTCCCTGATCAGCAGGGAGTCTGCTTCTCTTTCTCCTTCTCCCCCCCCCCCCCTCCCCCCCTTGTCTTCCTCCACCCCTTAAATAAATAAATAAATAAATAAATAAATAAATAAATAAATCTTTAAAAGCTTCCCAGGTGATTCTAGATTTTAAAAAAAATGGTTATTGGGACAACTAATCTTCTAATGCTCTAGACTGTAAAGAGAATAATTAGTAAAATTAATCCTTACCCAGAGCGCCTGGGTGGCTCAGTCGTTAAGTGTCTGCCTTCGGCTCAGGTCATGATACCAGGGTCCTGGGATGGAGCCCCGCATCAGGCTCCCTGCTCGGCGGGAAGCCTGCTTCTTCCTCTGCCCCTCCCCCTGCCGTGTTCCCTCTCTCGCTGCGTCTCTCTCTGTCAAATAAATAAAATCTTAAAAAAAATTAATCCTTACAGAATTGATTCATTTATTATATATTAAATAGAAACTCACAATGTGTTCATAAAATGTGATTCTTTACTAGGGCTTGGCTAAGTCTATTTATTTATTTTTTTCTAGTTCTTTTTTCCCTTTCAGATACCAGGTTTAACCTCCATTGGGAAAACCAAGTATTTCTCCCTTTTAAAAGCTCATACATGAACAACCTGATGGTGAACCTGTTCACATTTAATCTTGGATTTGAGGAGAGGAAATACTTCCCAAGTGCTTTAATGCTTTCTCATTATCAGATTGTATAGAAGAAAAATTCTTTTCTACAATTTAAAAATGTAACATTTTTGCATATCTAAGAACTACCATAGGACTGAGGTCATTTCATTGAGTATTTTAATGTTAAATTGTTTTTTTTTTTTTTTTCTTTTCCTTTGGATCACAGGCCCTGGGCGTTCTACATACCTGGCTCTGACCTTTTTCCATTTCATTTCTGATATTTTTTTTAAACAAATTGTTTCCATTTCATCTGTTATAAGGACAATATTTTCTTATCTATGTTCAGATGTTTATAAACGTTTGATATGCATCTGCCTGTTGTAGTATTGAAGCAATTCCATTTTGGTGACACATTCTCTAACTCCACCTTTGCCAAGAAATGTTCATATTTCAAAATCTACTATTTTGATAGATAAACAATAATATATTAGTTAACCACTATAGTATTTTCGGACATGAATACCTCTTGTGATCTCTAGGTATTTTAATAAAATTATTTCAATAAACCTATGTATCACATAAGGAATATATATACATATATATTCCTTATTTATCACATGTAAGTAAATAAAAATACTTATGTTTCAGCATAGAGATGTTTACCTCATTCCTCTCCTTAAAAATGAAATGTAAGTAAAATCCCTAATTTACCGAAAATAATTGTGTAAACAGCAATTTGTTAGAGAAATTCTCTTATCTTCTGCATTTAATTTTGAAAAGGGCACTAGCTCTAACACCTAATCTCCAGCATTTCCATTAGCAAACTGCCCTCCCCTGTGTCTGTGTGTATTAACATCCATCCTAGGTTGTAATCAAATATTTGTGTAATTATTCTTGGCAAAGTTAGAGGTTGCAAAGCACAAGATACATATAAAACTGTAGTGGCATGTTTTCATTAGTGAATTTATAAAACCTGGGGTATTTCTTTATTACAGTCCCCAATAGGTGAGTTCTATTATTAAGATAACACCACTAAGATTTGCAGAAAAATTATGACCCCAATTTTGATTCCAAATTATTCAGTTTCTACCTCCTCCTAAATGCAGTCATTACTGATATCATTGTTTCTGTTCCTGTTTATTCTACTATAAATTTAAGGGTTAGATAATTTGATTTATTCCACAGTTCCTTAATTGAAATGAAGCATGTCCATCTAATCTTTCCAATATGATTGTATTTTCCACAAACACAAAGAAACGCCTTATGTCTTTTGCATCTCTCATAATTTCTAGCACAGTTCTAGACATGAATAAATATTCAATAATTATATATT